ATGCAAAGGACAATCTTCATTAGTTTTAAATACTTTTTTCCTTAGAATTTTTTAAAACATCTACTTAACATGTTTTTGTTATATGGATAAGGGGAAAAAATTTAAAATATTAACTTTTTCGTTACATTTAGCTGCACTAGACTGTATTACGAATTGTAAGGTGACGTGTTCCTAAATCGTCGCGTGTATCGCTAGAGTCGCTGACCAACACGTCATCATAGGGCATTTAACACGGAGCAGCACTACTGCAAAATATGTATACTGTAGTTCTAGTCTCCATTCCCGACGGTACGCAGATTTTCGACAGCTGCGAAGACGAGTCGAGGCAATGAGCACCAAGATAGGAATTTCAGAACCCCGCCGATTTGATATGTCGCCTCCAGAGTACTTCCGATTGATTCTGAGAAGGAACGCGAAACAGTATCTTGAAGGTCCGCGACATTTTTGATTTTCTCAACCTGCTCATATTTTTATTCCTAGAGCCGAGCGATCCGTGGATCTCTCAACCCTCCAAAATCCATCCAAAATGTAGACAATCTCTAGCATTAAGGCGAGAAGGTGTATGTCAGGTACTAGCACGACGGCTATCTGCTCAGCCGCATTCATACTTTTCTTTCACATATTTTCGATCACATTGTTCACCAGTTGGCACAGGGCATTCCAACAGTACAATATTGTTGGCAAGGGGATAGGTTGCAGGAAATGCAACTCTTTCCAATCTTTGCCCTGGATATAAGGTCGTGAAGTGATGTCATTGTCCAAGAGGTTACAATGTTTTTTTAAAAATATGATTTCTGGTTAGTTGAGTAAAGCTCGTTTAATCACATGTGCAATTCCTACATTGAAAACGGCGTTGTATTGAATACGTCCACCCTTGATGATCATTACGTCACAAATACCGTCAAAACTATTTATAACAATATCAGTTTGTACGACCCACCGGGTATAATAGCTAAAATGTCAGGTCCTGGCCGAATACTACGTACTGAGAACTACTGATACTTCACTGAGAACCTGTTTATTTCATTGCTTATAACGACGCATCGCTGTCAGCGGCGTCCTTTGCTTTGATTGACCAATGATCTACATCATTTGTAACGACCAATTATTCATACGACGCTCTTTCGCTTCTTATACCCACTTATCTTTAATTCTTATCTGAACGAAGAACGATGAAGTTGCTGCTCGCACCGAATAAGAAGCTCCACCGAAGCCGAGAGCCTCGCTCAACCGAAAGGTGGCGAGAGGTGTCATTCCCAACCAGTGCGGATGTCAACGAGTCTCGAAACACCTCAGTGAATGGAAATGATGACGCAAAAGAAGAGACATGTATGCAATTGAAGAAGTTTCATATAATGTCGAGATTAGAAAAAAGAAGAAACGAATGAAGAAATAGCGAAATAATTACGCGTGTCACATGCAATTAGACGTCTGAAATGCTCTGTTCTATCAGGTTCCGGTTTTGACAGTAGAAATCACCGACTATGAAGGTAAGAGATATATCATTCGCAAACATGTAAATGTATAAAATAATTTAATTAAACAATTAATTTGATTTCTTATTCTAATTCTCTTCTCTAATACTCATATCAAAATGAGTTTTTGAGAAAAATGTGACGTACTTTGAAAAACAAGAAATGACCGCATTTCCTTTCTTACCAACCAGGATGACATAATAACACATGTGCTTCTCTTCCTTTCCTTTGAAATATACGAAATACGTACACTATCACACGTATTTTATGAAATTCTTAGTAATTACAAACATCCGAGGGGGAGGCAACAAACATTGTAAGAATTTGTAATATTAACTTCAGGTATTATGAAGGATTGCATTTAAAATATGTGTTAACAAAACAAAGTAATAATATTAATAAAAAAATATAAAAACATTGCTACAGTAATAATATTAAATAAAAATAATTTTTAAAAAACCTTGCTTCTATTATGCCCCTTAAAAGAAACTAAAGTTTTATTAATATGAAAGATCAAACTTTTCACTCACTTGGCCCTAGATGTGCTAAATAGCATAGCTGAGTAGCGTATAAACGTAATGTACCGTTTTCAACTTTGAATAAATTATGTATAAATACGTGATCAGTATGTGTAGGGAAACAGTGTTTTCACGAGAGGGAGGAAAATTCCCTAATCATAATTTTTAATGTAAATTCAATATTAACGAATTGATGAATATTGGCAAAATTATTGAAACAAAAGGTGCGGAAGTCTTTTAAATACTGAACTACATGTCAAAATTAAATATGGTACAGAAAACTAAGTTTTCTTAAACATTAAGTGCTTCAAATCTCATGACAATAACTTTTCACGTCAATTCTCAATTATTTTCAGTATTTTAATGAGTTAGCACAACTGCTAACTCATATCTGCCTAGCGTGCCCGAAGAAGTAGATAGTTCAAAATTTCACCTTAAAAATTGCGGAAATGCAAACGGAACTACGTGTTGTTTTTCACCTAATCCTAAAAGGTGTGATCATGTGCATGTCAAAATTTTGAGGAAAAAATCTAATATTATTTTAATTATAAAATGGTGTGATGACAGTTTTTTGCAAAATAATACAGGCAGATAAAGTTTAAGAGCTTAAGAATGCAAACATGGAGTGACGTTTTATGGAAAGGATATCGCACCGCATTATTTAATTTCAGTTATTTGGGAGGCAATTATCCTTGAGGCTAAAACGGAGCTTAGACATAGCCTAGACGCAACGCATTAATATGAAATGAATATCCTTTTTGAACGTAACTTTCAAAGAGCGACTTCCTGTCTTTCTTGTCTCTGCACCCCCGCATAATGCACAGTCATGGAGATGGATGGATAAGAGCATTAGTCATGGAAGTTCACAAGGAACGTGCAAAATGTGGAAGAAATGGAACGAAACCTAGAACTATTCCTCATTGCTGCAAGTATCTGTGAAATGATTTCAACGCAACCGTTATTTTACAATAACTGTCATATCTGGGATGTCAACAGGAAACGGCACTTTCGAGAAATACATTACCTGTTCTCTAGCTTTAGCACGAAGTGTCTGTGTTTCAGGAAACGCAGGGCAGTTACGGATAAGATTGCGTGGAGTCGCTACTTCGAAGCCCCACCGGAAACTAGCACCGGCGCCTAGCGAGCTCGGTTTCCGCGCAGTGGCTTGCAACCGCTTGCGCCAGTGCGATTCGTCACCAGCGAGCGAGTCACATGCTAATAGTTCGTCAGGCGAAAAGAGAAGGAAACGCGTGAAGACAGTCACGAACCTAGGACTGCATTCCTACACACACACGTAATGACACCTCCAGCATAAAAGACAGACAGCTGAAAAACATTACAGCCACCTTTTACTGCGACTGAATTTGGAAGTAAAAAGATGATAAGCGAAAAATTAAAAAAAAAGTTCATTATAAGATTTTTAAAACGAAAAGACGATGATTAAAATTATTATCAGATGAAACATATTTCTGAGAAAAGTCAAGTAGAGAGAGTGAGTGAGAGACTGAGTACTTAGATATCACGTATGAAAGAAAGATATGAAAGGTTTATGTTATTTAAGGCCATGCGGGATCGTACAGCACAGTCCACAGAACCGGATTTACAAGGTGAAGAAACGAAGCCCCTATCAGAAGCGTCCAAGGAATGAGGAATGCGGAATGCGCCTGCGTTTCGAAAGGTGGTTCCAAAAACAAGGTCAATAGTTAATTGGAAAATTCTTATAACAATAGATTTCTACCGTGAGATACACTTCTTTCAGAATAAGGGAGAGGGTTTTATATTGTTGCTTTATTATCTTAAGCTCTCAACCTTCAAAATTGCAGAGCTGTTCAGTACACAACATATATAACACTTGCGCCTGCTTATTGATAAGAAATCATTTGTTGAGAGATCATTACTGTAGCCTTATGAAGAAGATTGGGTAGCATGCAGTTTCATTTGGGAAAATTCATTGGGTTTCATTTTCTTATTGACACGCATAAGTATTAAATATAGTTATACGATCATATGATCATCAACAGATATCATGTGCACACTACAACTTGAGAAAAATATTTGTTAAAGATATTCGAAAATTATCTTGGAAAAATACACAAGAAAACATATCGGTAGGCAAAAGAATGTGTTTGAACGAGTGTTGCATCCAAGCTTTTAAAGAAAGACAAAACTAAAATATTAGAATAGAGTTTCAGGTTACTGCAATATATAATAAACCAAGAGGATACACTGCAATTATTTTTTCTCAGGGCTTGACTTTCGGTTTAACAACTATCACTGGTATGTCTCGTAATCTTAATTAGTGGTAGTAAGATTAGGCATAAACAATAACTGCTTTAACTTTCTACACGTCAACTCACTTTTTTAATATAATATGTACATTAAGAAACTCTTTGTTTAGGTCCACACAAATCAAAACAGCCTGACGTTACGGAACAAGCCTAATCTTTGGACTACCGTGTGAATTCCCAGAGAGCACTGAACTTCAAAATACCACAGTGAATCCAAATTCGTATTCGAAGGAGAAGTGGTCCAAAATAGGTATTAACCTCCCCCTCCACACACACACACACACACACACACACACACACACACACACACGTAACTAATAGCTTTAATTAGAGATACTTGTTTAGAAAAATCTCTTCTGCCATGATAAGCACCAATAGAGCACAATATGTATATTATTGAACTATTTAGAAGCAACAATCTTCAAAGTAAGAAGAAATCATCCTCACATTTTACTGTGTTCCCCAACTAAGAAGTCTTCAAATAACCATGAATTCACTCGTGAGTGGAATAAACATTCAATGCTTAGATTTGTGGATTATCGAGTATGAACGTTCGCTCATCAAAGAGCAGTATTTTGGCACCAACAAACTCTTCGCATTAGCACGCCGTAAGCTTAAAAACTTCGAATCAAAAATGAATCTTCAACCGCGGTTTGATTTTCAAGGCAACATTCTTTCCTTCGCTTCAAACGAAGCAGGGGCCGGCGCATCGCACTCACCAGCTGCTGCCCTGGATGGTGGCGAGGGCCACCGAGTAGCCGAAGTGCGCCTCCTGCGGCGGGCGCCAGGGCGGGGACAGCACCACGGCGCCGCTGGGCAGCAGGTTGAAGGCCACCGCGGGCCGCCACACGCACAACACCAACACCAAAAGCCGCGACATCGCTGCCGCTTCCCCGACCGTCCGCGAACGCACGCTGCTTCGGACTGAAGTGTCCGCGCCGCGGGACGGCGCGCCGAGCGCCGCCGCCGCCGCCGCCGCCGCTCCCACCGGCGGCTGCGCGCAGTGCCACCAACTTCACATCTCGAGGGAACAATGTTCACGCAATTTTAATTGATGTATTTTTCTTCTGTTATCTTCTTTATTTTATTGCAATGTGTTTTATCGTAATAAGACATACTGTTTTCTAACAATTTATTTATTTTTGATAATTTGACCATTTTTGGGGCCTTTTTCAAAAATATATTGTTCAGGTTTGATAAAACTTCATGATAAACGAATTTTTAGCATTTTGATAAAAAACAGTCAATGGTTTAAAAACCCTGGTCAAGTCTCTGTCCTCTTCTGGAGTACTTCTTCGTCTGACCCCTCCCCTTCTACCTGTCCGGCAAGGGAGGTAATCATCATCTGGTCAACGGAACTGCGAACATCAATACAGAGGCGCCATCAGTTCGACTTGGCCAGGGTTTTGGTACCAGACCCCTTCTATTAGGAAGAGATAAGGGAAACCTACGAGACATCAATCAGAACAGTGAACCTATGAAATCCATCACGGAAGGGATTACAATATCGTCGGTGTTCAGACTCATCAAGCAAACATATTCAGCGCCCCTTTGGGATAGACTCACGACTCACGATATCCAAGTGTGACCTCCGGATGTCAATAATAGTGAATTCAGTGTCATAGCAATGCAAAATTATAATTGTGAAGAGGTGCATGGTAAAAGCATTGGAAAGCAAAGGAAAACGATCAACCTTCATGAAAACAGTTTTGGACCCTTTGTCTTTGCCATTAATTTAAATATTTCCTTTTAAATTTAAATTTACCATAATTTAAACCTTGGTACTCGCATAGGCGCCTACGGCGTAGGCTATATGCCAGGCGTAGCCGTTGGGTGTGTCGTCTTGGCAGGCGCAAATGTTCTCATTTGTTCCGTTGTCCTCTCGAGAACTCCAAGATATGCGTACGAAAATAATCGAATTCCGTCTGCTTAGACGTAACAGGCGCCAAGCTAGGAAATTAAAAACCCTCCCGAAATAAGAAATACCCACGTTCTTATATGTATAGTTTAAACCCTATAAATAAATAATATCAGTGTCTTTCATTCCTCGTAAAGATAAAAATTGTATTAGCTTTTCGTGTTATCAAGTTAAACGAAATGTTACGTAAAAGGTCGATCTTTTGTTAAATATTCTCTTTTCGAGTTGCCTCCGACAGAAAATTGTAGCTAAGGCATCTTCATAAACAAAATAAAAATATCTTCTTGAAAATCTACAAATGTTTATGAGCACATACATCTTCTTATCGAAAATCACTTCCCCCATTTTGCGATATCTATCTGAAAACAACTCTGATTCTTTCAGCAATTTATCGGTTCAATAAAAGAAGCGCAAAAGTGTTGCATTAAAACTCAATATCCTTTCTTCATTCACTTCAACAAACAGCTTTTAAATTAAACATATTTTGTCGCCTCCCGCTTAATTTTCTGCATTTTTAATAATCTCCCATCTCCTTTTTACACAACCCGAAACTCATATACTAGATACCAATCGGCTGGGCTTTAATAAAAGAATGTCATTGACACCCAGCTGTGCACACAAGAGTTGTCATGGGAACATCTATCGTAATCGCTCCGGGTGCGTGCGTGAATTTTTGCTTTGAGTGGGGATATCTGCCTAGTGAACAATATCGGGCATAGAACCCACGGAACGACAAGCATTTGCTTATCTCAGTTTTTTTTGGATAATTATTAAATAAGAAACTGTGAGTGCCAAGCAATGTTAAAGCCGTCACATTTGCACGCTTCCTAAACCGGTTATCATAAATTAGTGATCAAGAGGCTTGTATCCGATATTCAAAGAAATTCAGTTTCAAAATAACACCGAGAAACTTTCACGCAAGTGTTAGGTACGAGATATAATGTTGGGTTTTATTTGCTTACGCGACAAAAATATTATTAACGCCTTGTCTCTGCGAACCATGAATCTTTGTGAAATGAATGTAGACGACATCAACATTTACTTCAAAGAAACAAAAATAATGGAAGAGAACAATCCCTAGAAATTATTGAACATCACTTGCGTAAGATGAAACAAGAGCGTTTGAGAACAGTGCAAGGAATGGATGTAAACATCCGTGAATAGAGATTGAAAATAGAAAAATTAAGTACTTCGGGGAATAAAAGAAAACCACGTCACAGAGACTGTAAATCATGCCAGAGATGAAACGCAAAATAATATTTTCAGGTACGTCGATTTGGTGATGCTTGCTTTCGGAATAAATAAACGCATGTGCTGATTTTTCTACAAGAAAGAAAAGCGGCTGGTTGAGAAAAGAGACACCTCGGTTTTCATCCCTATCCACGTCCTGTGTCCGCATATCAACGCTTTATTTATCTTAACACTTCTTTTACGAATGAAAGAGATGAATGCTTAGAAGGGAAATATTTATCATTATGCTAGTAGAATTTATTTATATGCTAAAACTACTATGATGCTGTTGAAAATGTCTTTCACTACTCTACTTACATATTCTGCAGTGGTTTTCTATAAATTCGCTATGGTTGTCTTTATTTCTAACTACTGAGTTTTGTTAATTCTCTTTTTTTATTTTTTTTATTTTAGTTCAATGAATCTATGACACTCCGTTTGAGGAAGAAAGGTTCAAAGAATAGAAGGAAGAGTCTTAACAAAGTGTACGCAGTCAAATAAAATCTCGTTCCTTTCTCTCGATTCCCCTTCAGAATTAAGGCAACCTCTCTTCGCTGCACCATGAGAATGGCGCGGTCTTCAGCATCTGCGTTTAGGGAAAATGTCTTTGACTCTTCAACACTGAATGTTTCCAAGCACATTACTTCCAGAAGCAAAATCAGTCACTCAGAATACTTTTGAAGTTTAAATCTTACACTTTTCACCGAAACGTCTTTTAGTGGACTGGCACCATCAACCTATTAGTTGAACTGTAACTGAAGAAGTCAGCGTCACCTTAATGAAGAAAAGGGTGTTGACAAATTTTGTAATTGTTAAAGTAATCGAGCATAAACGTTTCATACTGTTGAAGTTAAGCTGTTTTTTCCCCCAATTGATGAGGCAAACACTTCCCACTCGCCTCCCTACTTTCAAAAAGTGAATGACATGACATTTTTATCTCAGGTCCCTGTCGATTTAACATTGATAAATCGCCGTACGGTTAATGCATTTTTTTAAATTTATTTTTCCCCGTTCGACTTTTGTCTTTTGGGGGTTTTGACGGGTACAATGTTAAATACAATGACTTTACTTGTTCATCCTCAGACAAATGCGGGTCTCGGAATAACCCTTCACTACTTTTTATTTAATTTCATATTTGGATATCTCCATTAAGAGAAGTTTGCATTTGTGATTTAGAGGAGGAGGGAGAGTGCGAGTGGGAAAATGAGGCAAATAATTTTATGAATTTGGGCGATTTTATGAGGGTGGGCGAAAGAGATCTTTGGGGAATCTGGTTCTAATGCGTGATGGATGAGCGTTTGGCGGAGATTGAATATTGGAGTGTTGGGGCAGGCTGGGAGGAGAGTAATATTTTTCAGAGGTTTGTGAGATGAATTCTTAGAGGAGAGGTATTTGCAGCTCTCCGTGGATTTGTGAGTTTGAAATGAACTAGGGGGCTTTCAAGGTTTGTCTTAGATATTTCTTTTGGATTGTCTGTAAAACGGATAGATTGGTTGGTGCTATGTTGCGCCATATTGGACATGCGTATGCCATTGTGGGTCTTATCATTTTATAGATGAGTAGCGCAGTTTCTATACTGAGGGTGGAATTTCTGTTAACGGGCATAGCTTTAGAACTTTGGCACGTGACTTATGGGCTGTTGATTGAATGTTCGATTTCCACGTTAGCCGTTTGTCCAATAAGACACCTAGGTATTTAGCTGGCAAAGAATGAGAAAGCCAGAGGACATCGGTTTTATTTATTCGCAGGGAAGGGAGGACGGAGAAGGAATATTTTGGATTGTGATTTTAAGAGATTAATTTTAATTCTCCATTTTTTGGTCCAGTTCGTATAACTGTAAATGTAGGATTGTATTTAATCATAGGCTAAGCTTATATCTGTATGTGAAGAGACAGTTAATGTAAATGCCGGATAGTCGGCCCACTTCTGGCTTTGGCCTGACAACCTGTGTTTTTATTAGTTTGTTGCACATGTTTTTATTAGTTGTTTGCACATGTTTTCGCGACTAAGTGCTATTAAAGCGAAATTGGAGTATTTTCGCGATAAACACAATATTCTTGCGAAGCCCATTAAACATAAATAGATGCATGCGTGTGTCTAAGAGTAGAATAAAACGCTAAAAATCGAGAAAGATTTGTTTGTTTCATTTTATTCTTAAAACAACGTACTTTTCAGTGCGATCAATCCAAAAATTCTGACAATGGAATGAAGGGAAATAAAAGATCAGTTGTTGATTTAATTATCGCAGAATTGCAAGTTCTGAGTTCAGTTTATTTCAGTTAGAATAACGGACTCGCGATCATTTTGTGCTTGCGAATCAGGAAAGCAAAGTATCCTAGCTGTAAAAACGTTTGCGTATTTGTCACGCGTGGTTCTTGCGGCTGGGGGAAAGACATATGCACGGGTACCACGTTCGAGTGCTTCGGCGGAACAACTGATATTTAGTTTAAAATAAAGGTACATTCACCGGAAACGCCTTAAATGTCTGACTATTCTCTTCTTCCTGAAAATCAAATTCACATTTAGAAAGCTTGTTGTTACAATACGCTATCATAACTCTATAACAACGGCTTATTGTCATTTATTTCATTTTATATTCCCCTATTACAATAAACTCTTTTTTTTTTTTTTTTTTTTTTTTTTTTTTTTTTTTTTTTTTTTTTTTTTTTTGTAATACGTGGTCCGCAGAATCAAATATTTCTCTAGTATCCGCTATCCGCCTTGGTCGGAAGATCCATATCCATCAGAGGATCCTAGAATCCATGGAAAATATAATTCAAATCAGCAGTCCTTACTCACAAACTTTGTTACTTCGTAATATCATTGCTACACATAACTTTCCATCATTTGGCTGCAGAAGCTGA